TTCATTTGATGCCGACCACCTCGATTCTCGCACCCGACGCCGACCACCACTCTCGCCGCCGACGCCGACCACCTCTCTCGCCCGACGCTAACCACCTCGAGCTCGAGCGCTACAACGAGATCCCCATTTCTCCTCCTCCATCAAGCCACCTCCTTCCCCCAACTCAGGTAAGGATCACGGCCATCCATTTACAGGTTTTGATTAGGGTTTTTTTTGATTTTTTTTTCGATTTCCTGGTGCTTCAGCGTCCTCTCCCCCAACTCGGTCTTTTTTAGTTTAATCTCTACCAATCTTTTTTAGTTTAATGGAGGTGTATGAAATTCGTCTGCACTATCATAGTGGTACACGTCAAAGGAACATTTATACCACACTTTGCTAGATTTTCTTTGGTGAGCAGGTGATTGAGGAAATCAACCAAGAATGACGCGAAATTTGAGTGGGGCTTCAGATGATTAGAAACAATATAAATAAATAGATCAAGGTGGGTGATTGTGATATTCCTTCAATCTGAGTTTCATAATGGCACTGAAAATATATCATTCACAGCGACTAATTAAAGTATCAGTATCATCTCAAGTTGGGTGATTGTGATATTTTTCTAGTTTATTCCCCAAAGTATCAGTATCATCTCAAGTTCAATCATTCACAGCGACTAATTAAAGTAAACAAGCAGGTAGTGCGTACAGACGTAACAAAATGTGGATGTCACCTTAGCTCCAATCTCATATTTTTTCATAGTATCAATTTCTTACAGTGATAGGATCATTTGTAAACCCCCCATACACCTGTATCTTTCTATTGTTAAAAATATTTTATTGCTAGGGGCACCTTGATTATTAAACCTGTTAGTATGCAATACTTGCTGCATCTTAATCTGCATATATTTTTAACATGGTTAATTACAGAATGGATAACTTGGGCACTGAAGCTAATGAAGTAAACTTGGACGACGATGATTTGATATATACTCCTCAAGTTTCAGATGAGTTGAGGCCAAAAAAAGGGCAAGAATTTGACACAATAGATGATGTTTTGACATTCTATAATGCTTATGCTAAAGCAGCTGGGTTTAGTGTAAGGTCTTGGACTACTCAGAAAGAGCCGAAAAATACATTGTTACTGTTTTTAATGAGGAGCACAGTCACCCATTATCAACACCATCAAAGATTCATCTTTTAAGATCCCATCGTAACGTTTCAGCCGCAACAAAGTCTCTAACTAAACAGTTATCCATGGTGAATATACCTCAGCATCAACAATTCAGTTTTCTTGGAGTACAATCAGGAGGTATAGAAAATATAGGGTGCACTCAAAGAGATTTGTATAATCATGAAAGGGATATACGGGCTGATTTGAAGGGGCATGATGGTGAAATGTTTTATGAATATTTAAAATTAGAACAAGGAAAGAATCCCGCATTTACTTTTCAAATTGAGGCCGATGAGGAACAAAAGATTACTCGTTGTTTTTGGTCCGATGCAAGATCAAGGCGGGCTTACAAATTTTTCGGTGATGTTGTAATCTTTGATACTACTTACAACACTAATCGCTATGGCCTTATATTTGCACCAATAATGGGGGTTAACAATCATGGTCAAACAATTATTTTTGCTTGTGGATTTTTGAATCATGAGAGCGTTGATGATTTTGTGTGGTTATTTAATCAATTTTTGGAAAGTATGCCTGGTGGTGCCCCGAAGATGATTATTACCGATCAAGACCCAGCGATGACTAAGGCATTCCCTCTTGTTCTTCCAAATACTTTTCACAGGTATTATAGTTTGTGTATATTATTAAAAATATTTATATGCATAGTCTTTTTTTTAACACTTTATTTAATTTTTTTGACAGGTATTGTAGTTGGCATATATTAATGAAGTTTTCTGAGAAAATTGATGCAGTGAAGTATAGTATTTATAAAAGTGAGTTCTCGGCTTGCATTTGGAAATCAGAGACTCCTGAAGAGTTTGATTTACAATGGGAAAGTTTGATTAAGAAAAGTGGGTTAGAAGGAAACAAGTGGTTGCAAGACCAATATGAACTTCGGTCAAGATGGATTCCCGCATATGTTAATCACATTTTCTCAGCAGACATGTCAAGTAGCCAACGAGCAGAAAGTGGACATGCATTCTTCAAGAAATTTGTTTCGAAGAATAATTCATTGGTGGATTTTATAATACAGTTTGGCAGGGGACTAGTGCGCCAACGTCACGAGGAGTTGATGGCCGATCACAAAGACTTGATTGAGAAACCTAAACTTAGAATAAATCATGACTTTTTGGAGCAAATGGTTGATATTTACACTAATGAGATGTATTTCAAGTTTGAGGCTGAAGTGTGTGACAGCTTTAACTACAAGTTGCAGTTTGTTAGGGAAACCGACAATCGCCGTGTGTATCAAATTCAAAGAAAGAAGCTCGCAACAAGCAAAGTCCGCGAAATCGTATATGACAAGGACTTGGATTTGGTTTCTTATAGTTGTAAAAAGTTTGATATTTGATGAAAATTGATGCTGAAATATTGCCCGATAAATACATCTTAAAGAGGTGGACTAAGTCTGCAAAATCGGGGACAGTGTATGATGATAAAGGCATGCAGATAAGCCCTGACAATTCTTATCTTTTAACACGGAGTCAATTTATCCAATCATCTTTGGAATTAGTTGACAAGTCCCTTGTATGTGAAGAAACGAGGAAGATGTTTACCGATGGAGTGCGTATCATTAATGAGCAAATTGAACAATTCATTAGTAGCCACATGGTTAGTGGCCGCACGGTTGCAAAGAGCTTCACCGAGAAAAAAAATCAAATGAGTAGTAATTTAATGGATGATGGTACTAGTGTGCAGGATTCTTGTACTTTTCAAAATAGTTTCAATGAACCCGATCAAGTGCGAACAAAAGGGTGCGGCAAAAGGTTGAAAGGAGGAAAAGAGAAAGCAATGGCTAGAGCAAAAAATAAAAAAGATAGACGTTGCCACGGGTGTGGTAAAGTAGGCCAATCACATGATAAGCGAAATTGTCCGACACTCACAAATCCGTAAGTAGAAATTCCTTTATTATTTAAGCATTTCTTATTCTTCACCTTCTAATATCCCCTTGGTGTATACATATATTTTTTCATTATAATGTAGGTCTTCTACATGCGGTGATACAACTAATATCCCCTTGGTGTATACATATATTTTTTCATTATAATGTAGGTCTTCTACATGCGGTGATACAATTTGGCAAGAGGGTAATGGGTCATCAAGTGAAGATGGGGATGATGTGCTCATATGAAGACGATCTTCATCTGAATCTCGTTTTAATGTATGTTATCTTATTGGAGCTAATGCTGATAATCTGATTAATTTTTATGCTCTTTCTGAAGATGGGGTTGGCATTTCGCATGTTAAGGGGGTATTCTGTGAAAATTTCCCTTATTTTCTGTTATTCCTCATTATTTTCTGAGTGCTTAATTTGTATTAGTTTTCCTGTTTGAACTAATGTATTGACTTTGTATGTTGTCATTCTCAGGAACATGGAGGACACAAAAATTCGGATTTGAAGTTGACAAAATCTTTGTGCTGTTGTGTTTTGTATGTTGTAAAAGACAAGTTATCTTTTGCAGTTGTGTTTTGAAGTTGTGTTTTGTATGTTGTAAAGGACAAGTTATCTTGTGCAGTTGTGTTTTGAAGTTGTGTTTTGTATGTTGTAAGATGCAGTTTTAAGAGAGACTATTTTCTTCAATTGTAGGGCACGAAGATCAGAAAATTAATGCACAGTTCTCTTATGAATATGTCATGTTGATAATTTGAGATCTTAATGAATATGTCATGTTGATAATCAGTGATGTACTATGTATCTGAGATCAATATTACATATTAGAGTATCATTGTTAATGAACAAATTTTTAGTGATTCCCACAGAAAGGAACGAGCAATTGTCTCCAAACAAGGAAAAAAGGAGTCATTTATGGGATGTCCGAAGAGCTAATGTCAACACTCATCACAATGGGGTCATCGCATGTCAACAATAACAAAGAGTAAATGAGAAGAGGTATAACAACATTTGGCACATTTATAGACAATAATATTTCTTTTCCCTTGTTTGAAACTTAAGAAAGAAAGAGCTGAGAATTGTAACTGAAATAGACAAGTTACAACTGATCTACGCTTTTAGCTGTCCTTTGCACACTGTCAAGTCGGAGATGGCATAAAAAAGGAACTCGATTCATTTACTCATTGTGATGCCAAGTTTGTGTTGGTTGATCTATTCTTAAATGTCTAATAGCTGCCTGGAGCTTAATCAAGAATTTTGTAGCTGCTTGCATTTCCACCTTTGGTTTAACTTGAACCTTACACACATGCCATATCTTAACCAATATCTCTAATAGATCGTATATTACTATCCATAACTCCATTTCATCAAATAGAAACATGTCGATGTTGTATTTATCTCTTATACAATATTACACACATGCCATAATCAGTTTATCACAATGCTATGATCTTATGAAGCTATCTCATATACACCAACACAAGGCCAGGATGTGGATCTGTTGAGTGTTAGTTTCCAGGCAATTTATCTCTTTTCTTTCACCGACATCGCACATGTCCATACATCAGTTCAGAAGGGACTTTAGCAACTTAGCAAATTTTGAACAAATTTTGAAAACAGACCCATCAAATACCTGTTACAAAAATATTATGTCACATCTTAGCAAGATAGGATATTCGAACAAATTTTGAAAACAGACCCATCAAATACCTGTTACAAAAATATTCTTAAAAGATGACATGTTCTGAAAATATATGTTCTGCTTAAATATGTTCTGAAAAATGACAAGTCCAAAATATAAGATGCATAAATATTACATCACATAACTTACAAATCCCATCGCAAACCCTTTACAATGGAAAAGCTAACAAATATTGCAACGATACATGCTACAAACACAAATATTGTAAACATCCGACGTCTTTTCTTTCCAACATCCGCGATTTTTAAAGATTTTCCTTGTTTAAAACAAACATACTCCTTCCTTTTTATTTCACTACTTCCCGACTCTTTCTGAGTAGACCAAGACCTTACACTAAACCCAGCTGCTTTAGCATAAGCATTATAGAATGTCAAAACATCATCTATTGTGTCAAATTCTTGTCTTTTTTTTGGCCTCAACTCATCTGAAACTTGAGGAGTATATATCAAATCATCGTCGTCCCAGTTTACTTCATTAGCTTCAGTGCCCAAGTTATCCATTCTGTAATTAACCATGTTAAAAATATATGCAGATTAAGATGCAGCAAGTATTGCATACTAACAGGTTTAATAATCAAGGTGCCCCTAGCAATAAAATATTTTTCGTAATAGAAAGATACAGGTGTATGGGGGGAATTTACAAATGATCCTATCACTGTAAGAAATAAATGAAATCATTTGAAAGCATTTAGACCATAAGCCATAGTGTTAAGTTTCAATGTGATCGGCCAGTTTGCATTTCTCAATACTTTTAACACAAGTAGCTAGGTCTGAAAGCATTATGGGCTATGTATTTGGACAGATCTAACTGTACGCAAGGAAAGGGCAAAATCATGCGATGATTCAGTTTCTAAGCAGATTGACGAGAAAATCTGGTGAGTACAAGACTGATACTGAGCACAAAATACAAATATCCCAGGCACAAGACATACGAGAAAATAACCAGCATACGAGAAAATAACCAGATCGAGGAGCAAAATCATGCGATGATTCAGTTTCTAAGCATTCTTTGTGTAGTTAAATATCAATTAAAGGAAGAAACTGCTTACAAGTTGGCTCGCGGAGATCAAGGAGAAAAATTGCTGACGTTCTTCGACGGCGAGGACGCGGAGGAGGAGCTGACGATCGCCGATGCTTGATTCGACGTCGAGGTCTTGACCGATCGGCGTCGCTGTTGTCTCGTCGGAAGGGATTGGGGACGATTTGGGGTTTTTTTGGTGAGGAAGGGTTTGGGAACGAATTAGGGGTTTTTTTGTGAGGAGTTTGGGATTTTTTGAAACGAAAATGAAATCTGCTCGAGCCTGATCAATTTTGTCGTTGATAATTTTCCAAAAAACCCCTGGAACGGAGCTCGAGACGAGACAGAGCAGAATGCGCGCCGATTTGCAAAACAACCCCTGCTACGCTGATCGAGCCGAGATCACGTGGATGCGGACGAATTTAACAAAAAAACCCTCGCTTTCCCACCAACCCAGCAGATGCGTACGCATCAGTCCGCACCAGAAACTCTTTCCTAAGATAAATCATCTCAATTAAAAATAAAATGAGTTGGGCATAGGTAACGTTAAAGGTTAGGATGATTGACACATGTCGTGTTTCTGCAATACCTATTTTGGAGAAGGCAGATAAGTAAGAATGACTAACATATTATGTTTCGGCAATAATGATGATGAATATGAATCCTATAAAATTGTCCTGCACTGTGTGGGACAGTCTGAACTGTTGATATCTTATGAAGAGGGGCATTTTGATATTTTATTGTCGCTATAGAGCACTTATCACAACTCTGTGCGATGTTGTCATAAAAAACACACTCAGTAATAAAGCATAAAGTGAATCTATTATTTGTATATTTTCACTTTTCACTTCTATAATCGAGTCCATAGTTGGAGATTGGCGCATTGTAAGAGGGTGTTTGTTTCAAACTCTATGGTACTGTTTGGCAAAGGGTTAAGTGAGGGGTTAAGGAAATTTAACCCTTTCTTAACCTGCCAAACACAATAAATCTATATAAGAGTTAAAGTGAGTTAACCCTTCATAATTTGCCAAACATAAAAAATATAGAAGGGTTAAGTTAACCCCTCTAGAGGGGTTTAAATGAGTTAACCTCTCAAAATGAGGGATTTACTAATACTCCTATTTAGATGGAATAAGAGTTAACCCTTCTAGCCCCGTTTGGCAAAGGGTTAATGAAGAGGGGTTAAAGAGAAGGATTAATATACTTAGCCCATTTGATAATCCGAAGGACTAAATTATTAACCAGTTAAATAAGTTTTTTTTAGCCCTTATGATCAGTTTTAGTGTTTGGGAATAACAATGATTTTGACTATTTTCTTTATAATTAGAAGTGTTAACTCTTATTCCATCTAAATAGGAGTATTAGTAAACCCCTCATTTTGAGGGGTTAACTCATTTTAACCCCTCTAGAGGGGTTAACTTAACCCTTCTATATTTTTTATGTTTGGCAAATTATGGAGGGTTAACTCACTTTAACCCTTATATAGATTTGTTGTGTTTGGCAGGTTAAGAAGGGTTAAGTCTCCTTAACCCCTCTCTTAACCCTTTGCCAAACGGTACCTCTAATTATAAAGAAAATAGTCAAAATCATTGTTATTCCCAAACACTAAAACTGATCATAAGGGCTAAAATAAAACTTATTTAACGGGTTAATAATTTAGTCTTTCGGATTATCAAATGGGCTAAGTACATTAATCATTCTCTTTAACCCCTCTTCATTAACCCTTTGCCAAACGTGGCCT